CGTGAGATAAAACCAGATCAGAACCGTGTCCAAATCACGGCCTGCTATGGTCTCTCGACTACAGCGAAGGGCAGCTCTGCCCAGCAGCAGGAAATCGCCATGAAGCTTGTGATTGATGCGCAGCTGAAGCGCGCCACCTTTACGCAGTCCCAGTCCAGTGAGCTGAGCTTCAATGCCATGGCGGGCACCACTCAACAGTGTCGCGTCTTCGACTGCGAGGTGCGCTACAGCGAGAAGGACATATTCCAGCCCATTCAGCTAGAGATGCACTATGAGCTGACGAAGAAGGTGCCAGACTCGGAGGGTAAGCTGAATGAATAAAGCGTGTCTTCACTGGCCTAACACTCACTTCTTCTTCCCATTTCCTTTCAGTATTCTGTGACACCTGTGTGGCTGTAGATCCCGATGATCCAAAGGTCTACTCGGAGAAGATCATATTCAGCACGGGCTGTGCCACAGACGTTTGCATAGCCGATCTGAAGGTGACGGCCAAGGACTTGAGGTAAGCCAATGCAACGTTTGTAGAACAGTTTGTATAACAGCTTTCTCTATTCCCACAGCTCGAGCTATATTCTGGGCAGTGGCAAGACCCTCCGCATCAACTATGAGGTGACCAACAATGGAGAGACGGCCTATTTGCCACAGCTGAATGTGACGAGCTCGAGTCGCTTGAACTTCGCTCAGATTCCTGGCAACTGCAGGGTCAGTGATGCGGTCATGCTCTGTGATTTGAATCACGGCAGACCGTTGGGCAAGGGCGACAAGGATGGCATTACCATCAGCTTCGATGTGAGCAGCCTGACCGGCAAAGCGCTGACCATCAGCGCCGAGGTCTTCAGCACTGGCCACGAGCAGAACCCCAGTGACAATAAGCTGGTTAGTCTGATTGCGCTCAAGGAGTACACGGAAATCGATGCATCGGGGTAAGGCTCAAGCAACTATTCCTGAACTGAACTGAATCTTAACTAATCTTCTCTTTTATCTATTCTATCTCCTTCGCAGTGGTCAGACCAATGAGGCCATCAATCTGGAGCACTATAAGAACTCGGCTGTGATTGTCAACAACTATGAGATCAAGAGTAATGGCCCCAGCAATGTGGACGCCCTGGAGCTAGTCTTCCAAATTCCAGTTGCCTATAAGATAGCCGGATCCACTGCCACCATACCCATCATCAATGTGGGCAACATAACCATGCAGGCTACGTACGACGCCCAGCTGGTCGCCATCGAGCTGCTCGACCCGAACAACACGCAGATTATTATGAATCCCATTGAGATCTCAACGACGCGCACGAGCAAGCACACAGAGCGCGTCGTCGTTAGCCAGAATGGAGCTCACTACGATGTGAGCAGCAGTGCGCACACCGAGCAGAGCTGGCAGGAGCTGGATTCGGATTCAGTGGCCACTGCATCCATGACGCGCAAGCGACGTGACCTGAAGGCCTTGACAGCCAACCGCGAGCAATATGCACGCATTTCGAACGTCAAGGCGCACGAGCTGCTCAGCGAGGACTTCAAGGGCAAGTTGCCAGTGAATCGCACCATTGTCTTCAATTGCCGGGATCCGGAGATGACCATTTGCCTGCGCGCTGTTATGCGTGTCTACAACTTCAAGCCGGAGAAGCCGATCAATTTGAATATGCGCTACAGCGTCGATCTGAACGAGGTGAATGCAATTCTCATCGATCCCTGGGAGTTCTTTGCCATCCTCATCGATTTGAGTGTGCGCAAAGAGGGCGATCCCACGGGCAGCTCGCTGTTAATTCGACGTAAAATCGAACCGAATGTCATATCTAAGCATCTGGTAACGAAGTCCCTCATCTGGATAATAATTCTCTCCGTACTGGGTGGCCTCGTGCTGCTGGCTGTCTTTACCTATGGCATGTACAAGGTAGAGTAGCTAAAAGAAACCAGCTCCAGATGGCATCATATAATAAACTCTTACTCTTATTTTTTGCAGATGGGCTTCTTTAAGCGGACAAAGAAGGATGAGCTCGACAAGCTGGTGCACCAGGGCGCCGTGGAGCCCGAGGCGGAGAACCTTAACAGTGGCAATAACTAAGCTCAACAAATTGTGATCCATATTGCTAAGCTATAGACAAGTACATCACACATCACGATACAAGCAAAGTAGCATCAATACCAGCTGAACAGTTGGGAAATACCAAAAAGCAAACGAAAAGTGTTAAGGATAAAAGAACAGGTCTGTTCTAGATCAAGTCATCTATAGAGGAGTGTTGAAGATGGGTATAAATATTTATATATCTAGGCATAGATATCGTATCTATATAACTGTAACCTAGTGCAAGTTGTAAGCCGCGAAGCATTGAATGTTCTTGTGGATATTGTTGGAATTTTTGGAAAGTTAGTTATTTATATAGAGCTGAGCTTGAGGCGCCGAAAAGTCAGCCATATTGCCATTATTTGTAAATATTTATAAAATATTACTAAAGTAAAGTAAAAAAGATAACTGTTTAGTTTGTAAGTTTCGATAGCAACGTAAAAGACTTACAAATTTTGTATACAATATAAATTAAAGAAAACAAGAAAAACGCGACCCGAAAGAGAAGCGAAAAAAATAGTTTTAACGCAATAGTTAAAATTTAAGTGAGTAAAGTATTAAATAATTGTTTTGCTTTAAGTTAAACAGTTGAAGAGTTCTGAAACTTGATTTGTTTTTTACAACACGCTAGAAACTTAAGTTAAATAATTAAATTCATTTTAAATAAACAACTTTTGTAAAAACTGTCCGAGATGTGACTATAAGAAATCAAAATGTGCTTTAAATATATATTACATATTTGGTATAAACGAATGGGAGTTTTTGAATTCAACGTCTTCTAAAATATCGTAGCACTCAGCTTTTTGTCGTCCACGCACTGCTTTGCCTGCGCTATATGCAAGCAGTGCAATGCCTTCGTATTGCGAAAGTATTGCATACTTTTGGGCGGTGGATTTAATGAAGGTTATTTTAACAGCTGCAGTAGGATTTGCTCCGCAGGACGAAAGGACATCCTACATTCGATTCCGCCATTTTTTGTGACTCAACATTTGCGTCTTATAGCTGCTGATTCGGTTTATCTGCTCACAGAAGCTCCTGGCCAATTTTAGCTCAAATCGAGAAATTAATCAATTTTGACCGACTGCCCTCTAGGGTATGCAACGAATTTTGGTTTTTGCGTATTTTAGTCGTTTTAGTTTTTTTGCTATAACTCGGCCAAATCCTGTCGCAGGATAACAAAATAAATTGCGTTAGGCTCGTGGGGACTCTCGCCATCGATCCACATCAAAATAATGTGGGGTTTCTAGGCGTCCAGGACTTGTACGTTTTCCATGTCATGACGAGTGCTGCGGCCAAGCAAACTGCCCAAAACACACAAAATACCTGGTAACTCGGAAACCACAAGGACTATTTTCATGTCCTATGACCAGCTGATAGACCTGGTCACCCTAATCGATTTGACAAAGGAAGTTCCCGGATATGTCAGAATTGGAGCGAGAAAAAAGCACTTAATGGCACACCTAAAAAATCCTTATAACTCAAATAATTTAAGGACTTTCGTAATTTTTATTTTTTATTATTCATATGCATATTAAGGACTTTCTATGATATAAACACCATTAATGTGGTACTTCAAATCTTCAAGTTAATGTCGACTTTTGTAATTTTTGACAATTTTTCGACCATTTGCCTTGCAAAAAATGGAGGAAAATTTTTGGTGGAATCCTAGAAATCCTTGATTGCCAATCGACACCTATGACCGTCATGAACTGAAAAATAGCTACACCTTGGTCATTGCTATAAATATTTTCATATAAACTAAATATTCTATAAAAACTAAATGGGAACTACATAAGGAGGATATCCCGACTGTTGCGTCTGGCTGTAAATAGAATAAATTTACAAAAACAAAACAGAAGCCATATAGATATATAATTAAATTTAATTCTCTTAAAATCAATAAGTACATTTGTTTTCTGTTTTTTCTTTTCTTTTGTAAACTCTATTAAAATGCAATAATTTTTATAAACTAATTATGACAAACGCATTTAACACGAAGCAAAACGTTAACATGTTTTCTTGTTGAAAAAATATCTATATATGTATATACAAATTGTTTTCTGGCCACAATTTATGTTTAGCTAAGATATACACACACATATTCACATACATAAATAAAGTAAAATGGACTAACTAACTATATAATACACAGACACACATATATATAAGTTCTATGTAGAATTTGCAAGACATAACAGTACAGATATATAGATATATGTATGTATATATAGGCAATGCATAAGTACAACAAGTTGCTTTAAGTTTTCTATATAGAGTTTTTTGTTTGCTTCTTTGATAAGTTTCGTAGATTGGTTGGTTGTTTGGATATGTGAAATTGCAGGTGACTTTTCATATGTTTATGGAACTAGAGCTAAACATACTTTTTAGTTACAATAGTTTGTTTTCTTTTTAGTTAAATAACCGTTGGATCGAGTATATCAACAGATAAAACCAGATATACATATATAATATGCGTTCGACTTGTATGTGAAATGCATGCATTTTGATTTTCTATTCAAATTCTCACTGCTCTATCGTATTTTGTTTGTACATTTAATCAACAACAATAAAAACCGCCAACTGTGTAAATAAATACATTTTATATAAAAATACAGACAATCTGTGTGCTATGTATTGTCAAATCATTGAAATTTGCTTCTGCATTCCATCTGGGCGAATGTGAATTTTAGATCTGTATATATACATATCCAATATATATATATGTATATGTTTGATATGCGGTCTATCTATGAGATACATATATGTATGTATGTATTACTCTTCAAATTTTGATGGTTGACTAGCAACGCTTATTGAGCACAAGGTGGATTCAATTACTAACAGATATATAGATTTAGATACTTTGAAATACACAGATACAGATGCTTTGCTTATAGATAGATGGATACACCGATATATATATATATATACAGTTAACACATTTTGTCGTTATATGGCGAACCCTAGTTGGGAGTTTTCAATCTACTCCAGGACTCACTCACTAACAGATTCAGTTGCTCTAACAGACAGATACAAATACTTTAGCTCTAGAGCTTATAGACAGATATTGGGTATATATATATATACAGTTAGTTAACACATGGTTTCGTTATATGGCGGATCCTTTTCGGACTCTGTGCTGCTCTTGATGTTGGAGGAGAGCTTTGCTATCTCATCCTGCACCAGATGCGTGCTGATCTGCGGTATGGCCAGATTTGTGTTGCTGCTCTTGGCCGAAGAGGAGGTCGTTGCCGAGATGGGCTCGCCGTCGCGCGACTCTTCGGTGCTGGAGCTACTCTCCTTGAGCACATTCATGCCCAGCTTGCTAGTATAGGGTGGCTTCAGCGTTGAAATCAGTTTGGCAGCAACCGGAGCACCTGCTGCAGCACCTGCCGCAGCCGCAGCCTCTGTGCTGCTCGCCTCGGCGCTTGTTTGCGCAGACAGTGGCTTGCCCTGGTCCATACTAAACTGTTTCTTCAACTGCATGGGACGCGTTGGCAATGCTGGCGCTGCCTGCGTCAGATCTAGCGAGCTGGAACTGTCGTCCCTTAGACGTCTGCCATCGGCAGCGCCCACGGACGCCGTCCGCTTGGGTTGATAACGCGCCTGCGCAGCGCCGCCAGCAGCGCCAACGCTCACGCTAATGCCCGTTGCCGAATGCGAGTCGCCGGCATCCAAACTGGGCTCCGCCGTCAGTGAGGGCGTGTCCACGTTGTAGGAGCCGGTCAAAGAGGTGTTCGTCTCATTGGAGCTCTGCTTGATGAACCGATACGGATGCGCCGAGTAGTCCGTGTCCGTGCTCGAATTCTTCTGCAGACTCTCGCTGGACTTCTTGAACAGCCGCCCGCTGCTGTCGTACGGTGGATTGAGGAAGTCGCTGGTGGCACGCGTCGGCACCAGCGGCGACTGATAGCTCTGCTGTTCCATGGACGAATTGCGTTGCCAGGGCCGTTCGTGCTTCAGCTGGAAGCCGCTGCTCGCCGCACCGCTCGTGTCGCTGCTGTCGCCAGCAATCACAGCGCCAATGGCATCGCCCTCGGCCGCGGGCTTCGAGGGCGACAGCTCTATGGCCGTCTCCCTGCGCAGCGGATAGCGATGACTATAGTCCACAGAGACGCCGATCTGGAAGGATGAGACAGCGCAGGAGTTGAGTGTGTATAAAGCGTGAGCATGAATCAGGATGAACCTACCTCATAGGAGGGCACGCTGGCATCGATGGAGCCACGTGCCTCAAAGAGGCCCTCCAATATCCTGTAATCGTTCTCCTCGCACTCCTTCAGGTGCTTCTTCTCCTGCAACGCAGCTGCCTCTGCGCGTGACATCTCCGTCTTGGGCCGATCCAGGGAAGCTGTGAAACATGCAAAGATTCAATGAGCAAAGATTCCAACTGCGAGCCGAGGCAGGTGCAGGCGCAGGCGCAGTCGCAGGCTTGGGTATTGCGTGGGATTTCTATTCTTTTTGTTTATTTTGATTTTCTTGTGGGGGATTTCGGCTGGCAAGCAAAAGGCAAATGAATATTACGCATACGCCCGGTTAGCAAGTAAACATATTACACAATTTTGTAGGTTCTAAAGTGCTTTGGTTTCTCATTTTCAATTTTCATTTAGTGTGGGCCAATCGGATATGGGATTTTGGATGGAGATCGGAGTGCGGAGTTCGGTGATCGGTGATCGGAGCAACGCCAACTTACCTTTGTTGCTCTGCAGCGAGACGGTCGGCGAGGCAATCAAATGGCAAACGCTCTCCAGCTCGTCCGTTATGGATGTATATTCACTGTGCAGTTTCAGCAATATATTTCTGGAGGGTTTCGCATGCAATACTGATTTACCTAGAGTTCGAGGTTAGGTTTTTTTTTTGTTGAGAATGCGTCAGAGATCAAATTACGTGTGTGTGTGTGTGTGCGTGTGTGTGTTGGTGTTTATGTACGCGTATTTATGGGCGTGTTTCGAGAGTAAACAAGAGAGAAAGAGAGAGAGAGAGAGCATGAGAGTGAGGTGTGGGTACAGTGAAAACTCTGCTAACGAACATAGCCCACTGCTCCTTAAGAGCAGATGTATAGCTATTGTACAGTAAAGGTTACATAGGTTGATTTCATTTAAAATGAAGTTCGGACACTTTAGTCATCAGACAAAGACCGATAGACTCTATCTATATATCCTATAGTCATTGCTATACTTCCTATACAAATTTTTCAATCTACATATACATACATAGTATGTATTATACTCCCTTAATGCCAATTACTTCTTCTTCTCCTCAACTCTCTTTAGCAATCATCTTTATCAACACTCCACTCAACCTTCACTGTTCGCTCCGTAGAGCTTTCACTGTACATGATTCACAACATCAACAACAACCACATCAACATCAACAACAACTACAACAACAACGAGATTATATGCTCTTTGGATTAAGTTCTAAATGTTGGCAAATTTAGGTAGCTCGGATTGGTCGAAATTAATGCTTTAGTGTGGATTAGAAGTCGTCCTCATGAATTTGGTTTAGTTATAGGCGTCAAATTTTGGAGCGCGCGCATTATTTGCATCTAACGCTTATTGTCTAAATCGTTTACAGTAGAAACACAACAGGCACCGTCGAAACATACCCGTCTGTGGCACTGGAGGCATGTCCTTGTCGCTGTCCGGCTCGGAGTGCGTGAGGCTCATCTGGCGACGCGAGAGCGTTGTCAGCTGATTGAGGCTGATGTGCGAGCGATTGATGTCAGCGCCAGCCAGGGAATACGTCTCCGAGTTGCGACGGCAGAGCGAGACGGTGCGCTGGCGTAGAGCCCGATGTCTGGCAGCTGAGGGAGCACAACGGAAAGTGTTAGAGCAGTAGATAAAAAGGCGATGCAAGACTTAAGCGAAACGGAAATAAACAGAGAAAGGGAGAAAGAGGTACTTGCAAACGAAAACGCATGCAGAAGTAGTGAAAAAGTAACGTAAGATGGATGGAAAAAACGGGCGGAGACCAGAGAGCATTACGGCTTCATGGCCGGTTCGCATTACCCTCAAATGTCATGTCCGGCGCAGCATCGTCGGAGTTGTCGCCGCCAACGAGGGTCTGATCGTCATCGTTGTTGCCCATGGGCGTGAGGGTGTCCTTGCTCTCGGTGCTGGCGCCCGTATCCTGGCGCACGGTCACATAGGGCGTCCGCTTGACCGTGTCACAGGTGGACGGCCGCTGCGACAGGGGTAAATAAATATCGGAGTCCGCCTCCGATTGCATGGAGGCCTTGCGCACCATCTGCTCGTTGAGGGCCTCCCGGGACTTGACCACCTCGTCGGGCTCCTCGGGCAGCGGCACCACCTCAAAGTGCGTGCCCTCATCCAAGATGTACGCGTCCGGCCGCACTTCGGTCAGCGAGCGATTGAAGCGACGTCGATTGTTCACCTGCTCAGGTAAACAACACAGAGATGGAAAAAAAAAGACAACAACAACAACAACAATTGGCAACAGGTTTAAGGTGAAAGACAGGCATTCAGCTGAGACGCACCTGCAGTGAATTTAAAGTGAGTGCGGCGCCCAGGCCCAACGACGCGGCAATTCCGGCAGAGCCCCCGACTCCGACTCCAATTCCGCCGCCTCCTCCGCCACTGCCGCCGCCACCGCCTCCAGCTCCGCCGCTGCCCTCGTTGTCGGACATTGAGATGGTGCGCATGCGATGCATCTCGCCTGGAATGTTCATCACGGAGCCGCGTAGCAGCTCCTCATTGCCGGTGGTATGTGCGGACATGAAGCGATGTATGACGCCCAGGTGCGACAATATCTGCTCCGATGATTCCTCCATTTTGCGCAAACGGAATTCAATGTTCTGCAAACAAACACACGAACGGGCGAGCGAACAATATGAGCGACAATGTAACGATTGCAATAAAAGTGAGAGCTCAAAACGAGGAACAACTTGATGCCATATGTCCTGGCTGTCGAAGCGGCATACAAATGAACAGGCAGCTGCCACCTGGGTGAGGGTTGCCCCAAGAGTTGAGCCAACTAGTGTGGATTGGATATGGATGCGAGTCCAGTGGGTTGAAGAGGATTATTTACGGGTAAAGTTGTGAGATTGTTAAGGAACTAGTTCAATTGAACTGGCTATGTAATCAGTTTTGAATAATTCTCTTTGGTCAGCTATTAAAGTTAATACGAATGAATTTAAAATATTTATGCGGATCAAATTTTGTGAACTACTTATTAAATTATTGATTGTTCTGCTTGGAACAGTATTATAGTTCAGCCAGATTTTACTCACGATGTTTGAGTAATTGAACTAGTTCTTATATTAAACTACTAACTCCTTTTAATTGTTATTGGCTCTGCTCTTCAATTGAGCATAAAGTTCAATTGAACTAGTTCTTATAATGAACTATAAATTTGTATGTTTAATTCTCTCCAGAAAATTTGTATATAAGGAACTGGAAATGCTTTAACCCTCTCTAAAGTTAATTTTTAATAGAAGAGATTAGTTAGTCAAAATAGCTAAGCTAGCTAGTAGTCCTAGTAATCTAGCTAATCTATCTAGTAGCTCCACCTCAGTATATTTCCAAAAAATAGCTGTATTTACTGGACTGACTTTAGCAAAGGTCAAATTCCGCTTAAAAGTTGTTGAGGAAAGCTCGACAAACCCAAGTCTGGCTCAAGCATGTCATAAAATATGGACATGCTTAGCAGACTGGCAATAATATATGTACATAGAGGAAACCCTCGTACCGCTGCACATTCATGGACATTTTCAATTTAAGCGTTGCGGCTGAACCAGCTCCAGCTGCCTCAGTTCCCTCGTCTATCTCTCCCGGCAGCTTCGGCTTGTCTGTCAATGCGCATAAAACCCAAATCAATGTGCAAAAAAAAAAAAATCAAGAAGAAAATTGTGAATTTGCATAACAAAAAACTAAAAAGTGGGCTTAACGCTGAGTAAATATGTATTAGTAAATGTGTGTGAGCGGGTGTGTGTGTGTGTGTGCTACACACCTGTACTGTAGCCGTTTGTATGTTCTCCTTTTGATTGATGTCCTCGATTTTCTGTGCCATGGTCTCGACGCGCTCCGTTGTGTTCTTGACGCGCTCATCGGTCGACTGATTCAATATGATTTCCTGCTCGTGGAAGAAGCCCTCGACGCACTCCTCCTCGAAGTCGTACAGTCGCTCCAGATCGTCCTTTTCGAGGAACAGCTTGAGACCATTGTCCCGCTGCACCTCCAATCCTATTGGCGGCCACAAACAAACATAATACAAGTCAATTATTTCAGTGGACAAAGCAGAGTAATCATCATAAGCATTTCAATTATACAGAAGTCGATTATAAAAGCATATACACATATATACATGTACACAATAGAGCAGTTGTTGTAGACGAGCACACAGCAATGCGGCAGGCAGCAGGGTAAAGAAATATAGAGATTTGTACATTATTCTCATTCGATGGGGACACGCTCCGATTGTTTTGCACTCACAGGGAATAAAGCTAAACTTGCTCATGCCGGGCTCACCTTTCGCTTTGCGCACGCAGTACTTGAGCAGCGAATAGAAATGGCAGAAGGCGATGAAAGGTGGCGGCAGGACCGGCTTCTGTTGATACTCCATGACCACTGTGAATCTCTGGAACATCCATACCTGAGGGGGCAAAGAGTTAGCAAGAGAGATAGAGAGAGAGAGAAATAGAGTTAGAATATTAATAGTAAAAACTTGTTTCAGGTTATTTTCATTATTTCAACAGCTTAACAATGAGCTAGTCAACTAAGTGCCAAGACTTGCAGCTATTTTATACTTTATTTTAAATATTTAATCGCATTGCGCTTGCTTAAAGTAAATAAGGCTAGCTTAGCAGCTTAGCAACGAGATATGCAACTGGGTGGCAACGCTCGTAGCTGGTAAAACGTAGAATCGATTTGAAAGTTTCACTTTTTTTGCCTTCCATCTTTAAGTTCTTAATCATGTTGCAATTGCTTACAGTCAAGCAGAGTTGGCTTAACGGCTTACCAGTTTGACAACTAGAGTTGCAAGTAGGTGGCAACGCTTGCAGTTGACAATACGTAAAATATAACAGAAGATTCCTTTACTTTAAGTTAGTCCCGTTTTGATTGCTCAAGTAGACGTACTTAAGCCGCTTAAAAGAGTTGGCTTTAGAGCTAAGCTACAAGATTTAAAACTAGGTGGCAGCACTTAATTCTATACTTTAATTGAACTTTAAGCTATACTCGACTGGCTCAAAGAAATCAAATTGAGTAAAGTAGCTTACTAAGCAATTTAATCGAGGTTAAAAGACTGTCTACGAGACGTTTTACAACTAGGTGGCAACATCTGCGAATGACAATGTACTTAAGAGACTTTCCAGTGCGCAGATCTAAAGCCAATCGAATCGGCATGTACGCAAATAAGGAATGTGTCTTTAGTTTGCTGCAATTAATCTAATAGAACTAGGTGGCAACTTTAGCAGGCAATATTTCGCAGACCACGCTACAATAAGTCAGCATTCCTATTGAGCTTTAGGCACTGAAATACTGAACAAACTAACTGTAAGCAAATGAAGTCTGTTTGTTTTATTAAAAGCTGGCTTAAGTGTCTGACAACAAACTATTTTGCCACTAGGTGGCAAGGCATGCATAACTAATGTTTGTCTTTGCAAATAGTTGCCAAACAGCCTTAAGGCTAAAAACCAACCCACTTATTGGAAGCGTATGCGACAGTTTGTCTAAATAGTTGTAAACTATTTTAACAATGTTTAGTAAATGAGCTGAGCTTAAAGTCTGTGCTTAGCTGTTAGTTTATTTACTAAATCAGAGCATTAACTCAGCTAAGTGCTAAGTCATGCTGACAGCTGGAATTATAGACTGATGGAAACGTTGCCATCTAGTTGTAAATCATAAATTATGTATATAAGCATACCAAGAATTAATTTATTGCATGAGCTAGATAAACCGCTATATATAAATTAATATGCAACTAGGTGGCAACGCTTTAATGAGCAATCAGCTCGCAAAAGCATTTAAAACTCATAGTCAGGATGAAATTCAGCTCTCAGTAACAACTAAGATTGACAAAGTATATTAAATCAAATTAAATTAAATTAAATCTTATATAAACTTAGTGGAATTTGATTACATATTTAATCTAAATTATTTTTAACTCCATATAGTCTCGTTAGTAAAGCACTTACCTGATGCGAAACCGAATTGACCTCATTGAATATATTATTGAAGACGGCTATGAGCAGATTGATTAGCAATATATTGGCAATCAATAGATACATGGACATGGTTATGGGCGTTACCCAATGACCTGTAAATAACATTAGGTTTCAGAATAAACTACATCTATATATGTATATACATGACAATGTCTGGGTGCTAAACCTACCTGTCACGCAGGCGGGCTGACGCGGATCCTCGCCGCAGGGCGGATCAATGTCATCGGCAAAGACCTCGCCGTACAACATGAAGTACGGCTGATAGGTGACCTGTGCAGCGTTAAATTAAAAACGAGAAGAAAAGAGAATAGAAGAAGAACAAAGAGAGGGGAACAGAGGGGTTTGTCATTAAAAGCCAGTTACACAAAAAAAAAAAAAAAAATGACCAAGCTTAATTCAATTTGGGAGACGAGCCGACAGCACGTTCCCGACTGGGTCAACATTTATGCAAGTTTTACACATCAACACAGACAGTTGCTATAATATATATATATGTGTGTTTGTGTATGTATGTGTGTGTGTGTTGACTGTGCATTTGGCCTTTAGTTTTAACAGCATGCTACTGTAGTTGGGTCTCTGTTCATTAAAGGCACTGCCACCATTTCATTAGCATTTGCCGGGTTAATGGCTGTGCGATTAAACAGAGGCACAAGGTGTGTGTGTCATGGTGTGGGCGTGGCAAGGAGGTAGACAGGAGGGAGGGAGGGAGGGCATGGGATTCATCTCCCTTGGTGTCTGAGCATTTTGTGATAGATTTTGAATAATTAAACGTGGACAGTTTGCTGTTTTTACATTATTGCGCCCAGCAGCAGCAGCAGTTGATGATTTTCAATTTCAATTTTATGGCATTCGATATATTTGACACCAACAGAGATTCGAGTTTTCATTAAAAATGGGCATCGAATCGAGAGAGAAGAGCTATTTCGTTACCAAAATTTTATTTGAGCTTTGAGCAAGGTATTTAAATTGAACTATCTAACTATTTAACTATCTATAGATATCTTATCTGTCTATAGGTGTATCTCTATCTCTATCTATATCTGTATCTGTATCTGTATCTGTATCTGTATCTGTATCTGTATCTG